CCTCAATCCTTAAGAGTAATGTATAGGGAATCCCAGCACTATTTGGCCTTAATCCGGTTTCCAACTTTAGGGGGTTTAAGGTACAGTAGCAGCCAGAAAGTTGGAACATCATTATCCTCGTGGCCTTAAGGTAAGGTATACGGAACAGGGACTCCTAGCGCTAATCATGCTGAGTCCATGTTCTACTTTTCTGGGTTCGCTGTAAGCCCTTCGCCGTAAACCGGGTGTGCAACCCTACGCTTCCAAAGACCTTATAAATAGTGCCTCAGACCCCTTGAGATCCCAATAATGAGGTCCATGAAAGCATAGGGCAAGAGACCGTAACATAGGGGCCTGAACAAGGACCTACTGTACTCTTTTGGGGTTCCTCATTATAAGCATAGCATGTTGGCCCTCAAAACCTTATTCCATTAGTTAAGGCCCCTATACTATCCCCTAAAGGAGCCCTATTCTAATTAGTAAGGCCCCTAAACGAAATCCTTATAACAACCCTTATAATTATAGTATCTATGGTATCCCTTAAAGGAACCCTTAAGCTTGAAAGGAACCCTATTCTAGTTGTTAAGGCCCCTATATTATCACTCTAATGCTCAGAGTTTCGACCGATGAGTTGCTTTGGACCGGGGGGAAGCTCTAAGAAGATGGAGTGGACTGCTTCTGGGACTGTGGGTTTAGGGCTGAGGGTCCTCAGGGTTGAGGATGTTGAGGGTTTAGGGTTTAGGGTTTAGAGCTCAGCGTGTAGCGCTGAGAGTCTGCGCTTGATCAAATCCCTGCAAACACAACACTCAAAAGCTTCCACTGTTAAGCCCTGCATCTGGGTGGTTGTCAAAATTAGGGTCCTTTTGTTGGGTCCCTAATATAATACGGCACCTAGTATGTAAGGTACCCAAAAAGGGACCAAAATTTTGACAACTACCCATATTTCCTTAAGCCTAACTTTAAGACCCAGCACTTGTCTAAGGGAGCAGAAAGCCAAAGATTGGGATGCTTGGGCGCGGAAGATGCACAAAGGGGGAAGTCGTCCTCAGGCGCGTCTCCGAGATTTCGATGACAAGGGCCGGGGGTTCAGAAAGGAGCCTAATTACCAGTACTACTGTTGATGATATAAATCCTGCATTACCTTAAGGACCCTAAGCTATGGGAATTATGGTATAGTCCTTATTATGGGTAAGGCAGGATTTGTATCATCAACCGTATTGTGGAGGTTCCTTATGCAAAGTACATATAGTGGGCTCCAAAACCCTATTCTAATCATGAGCGCCCCCTTGGTATGGATTTGAGGTTTCTGGGTCTAGGGGGTTCAGGGTCTAATTTAGGGTGTAAGGGTTCAGGACTGGTGGTGAGGCTAAGTGGAGAGGATTGTTGGTTTATTCTGCTCAGAGCAGAGTTTCTCTTAAGCGTGGAAGGTTTCGAAAGGTAATATTAAACATGCATGTTTTTCAGCCAGAAATCCTTCGGGGCCCTACGTATGTATGGGCCGGGCTTGGGTTTGAGCCTTATTAGGGTTTGGGGTTTAGGGTTTAGGGTTTAGGGTTTAGGGCCTTATGCCATGTACCCCAAACCCGAACCCGAGCGCTGCAAACCCTGAGCCCGCAACCCCCGGAGCCCTAAACTGTGAATCCTACTAGGAGGGTCGCTGGACTTAGTAAGCAAGTATGAAGTAGACATATATAAGCACCCCAAAAGGATCCTGATTGGGGACATGATACTTATAAGTCCATAGAAAACTACTTCCAAATTACTACTTTCTAGGTCCCCGTCCCCGACCCTCCAAGTAAAGCCCTGCGACCTGCCTCGCAAAACCTACCCTCTTAGGGCTTCTTATCATGGTTTCTGTCCACATTTCTTTAGAGAGTCTTTGGGCTACAGACGTTTCCTTGGCCCGGCCTATCAACGAACGAACATGAACAGTCGACTGCATCGTGCCTGAAGCATTCAGCACAGGGAGGATGAGATCCTACGTCCCTGAATGGGGAAACTTTACACGTTTGGGCATAGTTTTATTCCCCATGCAAATCTGAAAGTGTTTACTATCTTAGTTCTCCAATACCCAACCTTTAAGCTTTTTGGGTTTAGATAGTTTAGTAGCAGTCACCTTTTAGTTCCCTGGGCTATTGGGAAGTAAGCTATTGTTGGCTTTTGAACTCATCAACCCACGATGGCAGCCATAGATGTCAGGATTGAAATTGTTCCCAGCACAGTCTGGTGTCCTGTGTCTCCGAAGATTGGTAGAAGTTGGGTTGCAAGAGAAGGCAGGTTCGTATCCATCCATGTATATTCGAGTCACTCGGGTTTCAATTTACGGATTAACAAATGGGAGTTTCTGAAAATTAGGGGTACCTTATTGTGGGTTCCTTATAAGAAGGGTCCTACTATCTCGGGTGCTATATTAGGGTCCCCTATTCTTGGAAACTCCCAAATGCGAATGGCGCTGTCCTGCACCTTTGGGCTCTGAAGTGTCCTTGTTCGTTATGCAGCTCAGGGGCTCTGGGAGCATCTCGCTATTTGCAGGACTCTAAACCTAAAAAACACCATACACAGTTTAGGGTTGAGATTAAAAAATAGTACCTGTAGTATCCATTGCAGCTCTCCTGAACCCTAAACACCATGCAGCGTTAACCCTAAGCCTTTTCGGCTCTTATCCCCAACCCCTACCTATAGTATCCATTGTAGTTCAGTTTTTAGTTTAATCAACGTGTTTGGTTTAATCAACTTCATGTCATAGGATCCTATCCATGAAACTAGGTGGTTAACCAAAAAGGAAACTATAATGGATACCATACAGCCTGCATCTCTACTGTGACTGACCAGGAAGACACCCGAGATGGAAGAGACTACATTTTAAACGCTGCAGACTCAGATTCGAGATTGTGCAGGAGGTGTTGATCCGGATTTCGGGCTCGGGGTTGAGATCGAGCCCGAACACGGGTGATAAAGCGCACTGTTTGGGTTTTAAGTGCCATTATAGGATCCCACTACTAGGCTGGCCGTTGATCCTTCTGAAACATGTTCACCTCAACGTGTCGAGGATCCCTCTCTACTTGGCGCCAATCTTCCAGCTCTTTCGTGGTTTGTACAACAGAAGTGCAATTCATATTTGTCCCATGTAAGCCCTCAATAGCCATGAATGTAGCTCTGAAAAAACCCTTACAAAACCCAGCATAAGGCCCCTATGCAGCTCTGTAGAACCCAGATCATCCCCTATGAAAACCCTAAACCCTAAACCCCTTACGGACCCTTCTAAAAGCTTAACCCTCAAACCCTAAAACCTAAAATCCCAAAACCCTGATCCCAAAAAACCTAAACGAAAGACCATAAACCCCAACCCCTAAACCTTAAAGACCCCTTATAGAGCCCTTTAAAGGAACCCTTCCCTATAGATCGCTTAAAAGAAGCCATTACAGGAACCCTATAGATCCCCTAAAGGAACCCTTAAAGGGTCCCTTAAGGAACCCTATAGATCCCTTAAAGGAGCCCTTACAGGAACCCTATAGATCCCTTAAAGGAACCCCGAAAGGAACCCTGAAAGCTCCCGCGCAAGGAGCTGAAAAGCTCGGATCCGGAGACGCGGGTCGCCGTGGGCCTTCGGGAAGTCCGGGCGTGGATGATGCCTCTCCGGCAGGGTTGAAGGGTTCCCTTAAGGGCTCCTTTAGGGGATCTATAGGTTTCCCTAAAGGGCTCCTTTAATGGATCTATAGGGTTCTGCTAGTAGTAGGTAACCTTTAACCTTTTTTGAATAGTATAGTCCCTACATAATCCCCATATAACCAAAAAGGTCAACCTTCAGTTTCCCATGATACCCGACAAGTAGGTTAAGGGTTCCTTTTAGGGTTCCTCTGAAGGGATCTATAAAGGGTCTTTAGGGTTTAGGGGTTCAGAGTTCAGGGGTTTAGGGTTAAGGTTCAGGTTCTGTGTTTGCAAAGATTTCTGCTCGTTCGTTTAAGGTTTTGTTGGTTCTTGGTGTGTGTTTTCCAGGGCCTTTGACATTTTGCTGCTGAGGGTTCCTAGGGTTTGATGGTTTAGTCGTTGTTTTTTGTTCACGGGGGGTGCGGGGTGTATGTTATGTCTCACTTTCAGTAACGTTTGTGTAGAGCTGATATAACATATAATATGCTTGTCTGATGGTTTACAGGGAACTCCAGAAAGTTGGAATATGTTTTCAGGGTAGGATCCCCCGTAATTTACCTTAAAGGGGTTACGATAATGATATTGCAACTTTCTGGCTTCTACTGTAAGGGCTTCGAGCATTGGGTGCATCGTATGTGTTGTTGCTTATCAGCGTCTAGACCCTAAACCGATCGAGGATGTTGATAGATCTGCGTCCCAGCAGTCGACTGGCGTGTACTTTGACCTTCGAGGAGCTGTCATGTTTGCAAGATACTGGTGTGGTACCTGGACCTTAAGATACCTTAAGTGTGTTGCTTCGTGCCGCTATTCATGGTGTTGGGCCTACGGGCTTCTCTAGGGCCGGGTCTTAGCCCTATTGAGCCCTGCATCTTCTGTTTTGCAGCCGGTGCTGTTATCTTGACCGGCTTGCAAACAGCTTTCGGCTCACGCCCGCTTCGCGCCTGACAGGTCCTTTAACCCTAACCGTTACCTAACCTCAGGATCTAGGCTGAGTGGATACACGTTCCACTGTTTTGGATTGTTTGATACCCACTATAAAACTAAACGTGTACACTTGTGGGGGCTTATGAACTCAGCAACTAAGATAGAGCCGGGCCTGATAAGGTAAACTTGAAGATCCCCTTGGGCGGTCAGTGCAGCCTGGAAGTCTCTAACAACACTCTAAAGTCCCGAACCAAGGACCCAACGCACTGTCCATACCCAGAGGTCTCACTGATTACCTCACCCCAAAGCTCTAAAGATGACTCCAGTGTTAAGGTTCTATGGGCCCGAAGACCAGATGGCAGTAGGCTTTTGGGCTACTTTGAGCCTTCGGCTTAGAGATAGTAGGGTAGGTGATAGGATTTTTCGAGTTCTTCGTGCACCGTTCGGCCATGCTCACGGACGTCCTGCTCCCAGCCCAGCAGAACAAATTGATGACCACCTAGTGTCACGGGTGAAGGCATTGAGGGTTAGCGTTTGGGCTCAAAGGGGTTTAATGTTTATGGTTTAGGTAATTACAAGCAGTAATGTTGATTCTAAAAGCACGAAGCTGTTAACTCCGGTGGGTTCTGGACAAAATTCTGCATTATCCGCGGTAGAGGTACGCCATGTGGGCTTCGGGCGTTTGGCTTCTAGGGTTCACGGTTCAGCATGTATGTGGCAGGGGGGCTGTAGGGCACCTGAGTTGTCGCCATAAGCACCAACTGCACCATACCTGCGCTCTCCGATGTAGCCGGTCTTTGGTATGCCGTTGTGGGATCATGCCATAGCTAGGTCCCTGCGTAGTACCCTTTTGCCCTTTTAAGTTTAGGGTCCCCTTATTAAAAACCGAACAGTAGGAAAACGAGGACCCTTATTCTTAAGGGGCCACTCAGGAACCTAGATAAGCAGTGTAGATGTGCCTTAGATCCCTGAAGCCCTATAGAAACCTGAGCGTTAAGGCTGACGGGAGTCGGCACAAAGTGCAAAGGGCTAGGCCACCTTACTTGGAGGTTCATGGGTAGTTATAAGGGTTCCTTTAAGCGTCCCTTTAAAGGGATCTATAGAGATTCTATAAGGGTATAGGGCTTAGGACCTACTTGGAGGTTCATGGGTAGTTATAAGTGGGGTTATAAGTGCTCAAATCTGGGTTAGAAGCATAGTTACCCCACTTATAACCACCCATGAACCTCCAAGTAGGCCCTAAACCCTATACCCTCATAGAATCCCTATACATCCCTTTAAGGGGACGCTTGAAGGAACCCTTCTTTCTACGTGCATTGAGAGGCTCCTTGGCTTCGTAAGTCTGTTACGTAATATAGTGGCCTGAATACTTTCCTTTTTGCTATTTTGGCGTCCTTATTCTAGTTTTAGTTCAATTATATACCCCCAAACCCGATTCTAATGGATAAGGCCCCTGTATATTGTTCCTTCTAGCCACTGGGGTAATTCCATTTCGGCTCAGGGTGTAGAGCCCGAATCTTCACGGCTTAGGGCTTCGGGTGTCATCAATAAGCCGGGTTGCTTGGCTCTTTCCCCAAGGGTCTAAAGGACCCAATAATTAGGTAATCGAGTTGAGGGTGGTAGTTATGTAGGCTACTATTTTGGAGAGTGTATGATTATTAGGTACTTGGACCCTTGGGGTTTACTTTAGCCTCATCTCAACCCTTTCTGAGACACGCAAAAACCCTTGTGAAGCTCAACAAAACACTGGAACAGGAATTGCAAAGTCCTCCTATAACTGCTTTGTAAATCCGTTACAAGACCCTGGCACTATCTATGATGAGAAGAGGCACATATAACACAGCCGGAACCCGAAACCCCAAACCCTACAGTGAGTTCCAGAAAGCTGTGTTATGGGATAAGGACGGTATGTGCTGGGATTTTCTTATACTTTATCTTAAGGTCTATATTCCAACTGTCTTGCCTCTATCCTTTCTCGACCCTAAACCGTATAATATTGACCCTAAACCCCATATCCGAAACCCTGAACCCTGAACCCGAAAACCCAAATTCTAAGATGAGGTCATGGGTCGAGATCTCCCACAGCTGCGGCGAAGGCAGCGGCTGGGAGTTTTTTGCTGAGTCCGTTGGTTGTTTGTAAGGGGATGGGGTTTCGGATTAGGGTTGAAGATTTAGGGCTTATAGTAGAAGCCAGACTCCACGGTTTAGGGTTTAGGGTTTAGGGTTTAGGGTTTAAGGTAAAGTATAAGGGATCCTAGCACCAATCCTCCTAAAGCCATGTTCCAACTTTCTGGCTTCTACTGTAGGGTTTCGGTATAGGGTTTAAGGGTTGGGGGCTTAGGGCAGAGATGCGGTCGTCGATTGTTGATGAGGGAGCAGTCGGGGTTGTACCTTCTTCTACGGTCTTGAAAGGGTGTTCAGGGCATACAATTTTCAGGGTTTCTTGGTTGAGGCCGCTCATTGTTAAAAGGGGCGGGCGCTTACAGGTTGCCTGTGGGTACTCTACAACTGTACTTAAAGGGTCATGGGATTTAGTAACTAGGGTGATAATTGGGGTAACTATACCTATAATCACTTATAACCCCAATTAGGGTACCTATAACCCTACTTACTAAGTCCCATGATCCTCCAAGTATGGGGTTTTCAGAGGATGTTCGGGGGTTACCAATTCTAGGTTTTTGGGTGGGGCTGGGTGTTTAAGTTGAAGAAGCGTCCCAGCCCAAAATACTGAATCCGTGAATGTTTAGCCCCTTACGACACGCCAAAAGTCCTGCAGCTTTCAGGTAAGTGTATCTAATTAATGAAGCTTTGGGGCTTTAGTAGAAAATCAGGGCAAGTAGACTTGTAAGTACCATTTTAAAGTGATCCTAATTGACGGGCCAGTCGTCAAAACAACCACACACTAAGTCTCCCGACCCTACAGGTAGGTCTTACATGCATGTGAAGCTCATTGGTGGGATTGGGAATGGTCCCTGGCAAGTTCTGACAACATCGCAGATGACCCAGAGAATCAAGTCTTGAATGCTCCGTGTTCCTGAGGCTACCTTCCTCCAAATCCCTATTGAAAGGAAACCAAACGACCTCACACCGATACTGTGAACCCTACACCACTGGACCCCCAACCTCCAAACCCCGAGTTTTAAACTCTGAGCACCTCAAACCCCAAACCCGCAAGATCCCTAAACTCCAAACCTGGAGAGCCCCACGCCCTCAACCTCCTAAACCCCAAACACTACTAATTCCCGTAATCTTCAAGCCGTCAAGCCCTAAATCCCAAACCCTGAAGCCCTGAAGCCTAAACCCTATACCCTAAGCCCTACAAAAAGAAGAACAGGATGCCCAGGAGTACCCTTAACCCCTTTTTGTAATCCTAGGTTTCTTATAAAGGTACCCAATACCAAAAAGGGAGCCCTCTTCATTTGAGACATTTCTAGGTTATTGGGCATCCTAGAGAAGCCATCCTACAGAACGAAGAAGCACTAAGACCCTGAAGCCCTAAAGGTTAAAACAAACCTATAAACTTCAAACCCTAAGCCCTGAACCCTTCAACAAAAATCGAAGCACTAAAACCCTGAAGCCTTAAAGCTTAAAACAGACCTATAAACTTCAAACCCTAAGCCCTGAACCTTAAAAAGATCGAAGCACTAAAGCCCTAAAGCTCCAAACCAGGACATCCTGCAGAGCTTGGGCGCTTACCCTGGCCTTTGCAGGGGCCCGGGCCCGGGTGTGTGCGTCCTTTGAGGGTTTCCAAGGCTTCAAGGTATAAAGCTTTACGGGTTTAGGGTTTTAGGGTTTGGGGGTTTAGGGCGCTTAGGGGTGTAGGGTCTAGGGGTTAGGGTTTAGGGTTTTGGGTACTTGGAGGGTCGGGGGACTTAGCTTTAGTAAGTAGGTAATATGTAGACTTGCAAGTACTTTGAATTTGATCCTGATTGCGGTTATGGTACGTATAGGTCTCTACTTACTTGGCTTCCAGGAGGGTATTCTACAGGGCTCAAACCTAAACCCCATACAGCTGTTACAACTGCCGAATTCCCGAACCCTGAACCCTGAACCCTTAAAGCACAGTTAAAGCATTATCAGGAACCTTTAGCCCTAAACCCCAAGCACTTGAACACCTGACCGCTTGAAAAGCTTCACCCCCCCGATCCCCCCACCAAGAAAGGAGCACGCACTGTAAGATACAGCAAAAATAAATACGGATGCTATTCCTTGGAGGTCTTGCTGTTGTATTTAGCGTGACAATATCCCCTCACCGTCCTATTTCAAGTCTTAAGTAAGGCCCCGGTATTACATCTTCGACAGCCAAAGAACAAGCCCTACGCCCAGCTTCAAAAGCAGTAGAAACACAACCTAGTAGAGTATGTAGACTTTAACCTTTTCTGGGTAGTATAGTCCCTATATAATCCCAATATAGCCAAAAAGGTCAACCTTTAGTTCCCCATGATACCCGATAAGTAGGAAAAAAAGCAGTAGAAAACACAACTCCATGGTCAGGTGCTTCCGTGGGCCTTCTGTGGGCTTCCTCGAGGTCTGTTTGCTTCGGGATTCAGTTCGGTCATGAGGTTCGGAGCTTTGGATTTGGGCTTTTAAATGTAGCTTTTGTTTTACGTTGGGTTTCGGGGTTTAGTCTGCTTGTTGTTCCGGTATTTTGGTGCAGTTGGTTCAACACAAGACTTACAAGAATTACAAAGACGGTACTTCGATTGTTCAGGAAGATCACGATTTACGCAGCTTGCCAGATCCTAATCTGATGGGCGCCAAACATTGGACAGGTAAGACCGTTTATACATTGAGGGGCATGGGCATCGAGTGACGGCTTTGTCGTCCGCTTTATACAGGGGAGGCAGCCATCAACTGGCTGCCTGTTTGCAGAGATCCTTCCTGGGCTATCATTACCTGAGTTCACACGGTGTTTCCTGTGGTGGAGACCAACAGGGCTGTTGGTTGTTCTGATGGTGATACCAAGAAGGACCCTGTCATCTGAAGGTACACCGGCATGTCACTTCCCTTCTTCCGTGGATGATGAAGACCCTAAACTAAACCCTAAGCTGTGACGATGACGACGACGGTAACCGATGAACTGAGACTAGGACCAGGGCGAGGAGCACGACGACGAGCTATGGCGAGGACGACGAAGATAAGATGAAGTAGGAGAAGGACCGGGAGGAGCAGGAAGAGAACGACGACATGTTTTGATGGTATATAGTGTGTGATATGATGACATGTATGATACTCGTGTTGATGACAGATGGCCCTGTTTGTTGATGATGACCAAGCTCATACCTTAAGTCCGAGACAAGAATCCCGACCCTGTCTGAACTCTGAATCTTGACCAAGGTCCTAAGGTTAAGAGCTCAGCTCCCTAAACCCTAAACCCTACACCCTAAACCCTAAACCCCTAAACCCCTAAACCCCTGAACCCTAAACCCCTAAGCTTAAGAGCTCAGCTTTTTCACGGCTTCACCAGATTGGGGTTAAGGGAGCATGGGCGTGGTTTCGATGAGCTTATGTCCCTAAGACTCCATGTACCCTTAGAGCAGGTACGAAGGCCTTAAAGTGGTCCCCTAATATGGGTACTTTAAGGCCTAAGCACCTACTATATGCGTACATGAAGCCTTTGGATGTATACTGCGCCGCCTCGCTATGACGTTTGGACGGGTTAGCCTAAACCCGATGCCTTACACTCTAAACTCTAAACCCCATACTATACCCGTCTAGATGGGTGAGTAGCCTGCAGTCTAGACTCTAAGCTATACTAACCCTAAACCCTAATCTATACTATATAATAGTTACCTATACTATTTTGGGGGGTTCCTTATCATAAAAAAGTAGTGTTTAATGGGCATAATCCTGAGGGTCCCCCCAAACTCTAATCCCAAAGCCCAACATCCTCCCGACGTGCGAGGCCGTGTTGCCGTGAGCACTGTCCGAGCCCTTCTTGGGGGTTTAAGCGGAATCTACAGTAGAAGAAGAGGGTTTTGGGGGTTTTGGGTGTAGGGTTCAGGGTATTTCGGGTTGACAGTAGAATGCCGTTAGGAACCCAAAAAAAGGACGTAAGCACAAGCATTTTGTAGGGATATCCCTACCTTATTGGGCTTCATTATGAGGGGGTTTATATGGGACATCCCTATCCTAGTTTTTGCTTATGTGCTTTTGGGGGGGTTCTATCTATAGTATATAATAATTACCTCTACTATTTTGGGGGTTCCTTATCATGACTTATAGTTTATCGGGCATAATCCTGAGGGCCCAAGAATCTACAGTAGAAGCCCAAAAGTTGGAAACCCAATAGCCCTCAATCCTTAAGAGTACTGGATAGGGAATCCCAGCACTATTTGGCCTTTATCCGGTTTCGAACTTTATGGGGTCTACCCCCGATTACCTCGAAGTTGGGTTTAGGGTTTGGGGTTTAGAGGGGCTTATGCAGAATATTCTAGACCCCCGAGTGCTTTGTAGTTGGGTTTGGCAGGCTTAGGGTCAGAGTTTGCCTATACTCTCCATTGTAGTTTTTTTGGGGGGTTATGGAGACTCTAGGTAATGTAGGCTCCTGATTAATCGTGCATTTTTCTGTGAAGGCAGGAAGATATCGACCCGCTTTATAATCCTTATTGCGATATTCCGGGAGAGGGCTTTACTAGTCAGGGCTCTGCACTATCAAAGACGGTGTCCTCTCGCAGGCTTCCGGAATTTCGGGCGTTTCAAACATGCGGGTTTTCAATATTGTTCGACAGGTCTGTTGGGGTTTCGGGCTTGAATTTTCAGTCACCCAACATCGCTATTGTCATCGGTCTTCCTGCCAGCTTCGAGGCCTACGGCATCGTGACCAAGACCCTAAACCCTGAACTCCTTAGGCGGAAAAAGGAGCTCAAAACAAAAAAAAAAACCTAAACTCCCACCCTAGACCGTTCGAATTGGGGGTTTAGCTCCTCAGAGCGGGGTTGGGTTTTCGGGTCCAGGGTTCAGGGGCTCTGCTTCCAAGACGAAGGCAATCAACCGATCCACAGCATAGGGGTCCGAAGCAATATTACTATCTTGTATGGTTTCTATACAAATCTTGGCGTTCTTCTGGTTGGCTCTTAGGACTTTAACTTTTTTGGTTTCAATATGAACCATAATAGGGAGGCTAGAAAGTTTAACTTTTAGGAGGGGTTCAGAAGTCAGCCCAGAAATAACATGCTGTAATCTGCCCCCCTCCAAGCAATTCAGGCCCTTATGGTAGCCCTTGAAAAGAACCCTTACTTAAAGGGTCATGGGACTTAGTAACTAGGGTTATAATTAGGGTAACTATACTTATAGTTGCTTATACCCCCAATTAGGGTACTTATAGCCCTACTTACTAAGCCGCATGATCCTCCAAGTATTTAAGCGCGCTGAATATGAAGGCTCCATGTGCCCATATACTTTGTACCTTAAGGCCTACGTATAAACTCGGGAACCCTGATAGTAGCGTAACTACATGGAGCCTATATAATGCAGGCTCCGGGGACGTAAATAGTAGGTATTTGGCGGACTTAAAAGTATCACAACTCCATTGAGGATCAATTTTAGGGTACATATAAGTCTGTGAATAACCTACTTACTAAGTCCCCCGAAACCCTAAACCCTAAATCCCAAACTCCTAAACCCTAAAGCCCTTATTGAGTCCCCCGACCCTCCAGATACGGTTGATGATATAAATCCTGCATTACCCATAATAAGGAATATGCCATAATTCCCATACTTTAGGGCCCTTGAGGTAATGCAGTATCTATGTCATCACCCTAAACCCCAAAACCCTATAGATCCCTTAAAGGGAACCCCTTAAAGGTACCCCTATAGATCCCTTTAGAGGAATCCTAGATTTATATCAACAATAGGAACTTCTCTCTTCACATCGCCCAGGCTCGCCTCGCCAAAGGCTTTGGCGCCGAGTCCGAGAAGGAAGAGCAGGCGTGGGCCTTCTCAGTAGCAGAGTAGGGTTTAGGGTTTAGGGTTTCTCAGTAGCAGAGTATACTTGGAGGGTCCGGGGCACTTAGTAAGTGGGGTTATAAGTAGACTTATAAGTACCCTAAAAGGGATCCTAATTGGGGTTATGGTACTTATAAGTCTCCAAAATAACTCCTCGCCCGACTCTCCAAGGTGGAGTAGGTATCCTTCAATCTTCTTTGTGGCAGTATAACCCCTACATATTCACAAAGGTTAACCTTTGGTTCCCTATGTTACTGGACAAGAGGACCTTTGGCGAATTCAAAGGCCTACCCACGTATAGTATGTGATAAAGAGTGTGTAGACAAGTCAGCAAGTAAATGTTTAGATAAGAAAATTATGTGTACACATATGGGAGTTTCCGAGTAGGGGATCTTAATATAGCACCCTAAATTATAGTAGGATCCTCATTAATTCTAAGGACCCCAAAACAAGGTATTCCTAATTCTCGGAAACCGCCATAGTGTGTGTATATATATATATGTATGTATATGTGTGTATACGTATGTATATATATCTATATATACAACACGATGTTATCAAGTAGAAGACGCTTACTGCCATGGCAGGTACTATAATCCCTGGGAGTTACAAGGTATCGACTTAGCCCTGAGTCTATATGTCGTGATACCGAGCATGGGAGGTTTCAATGCTAAGAAGGGCTTCAAGTTCAGTGAAAAACGGAGCCTCCATACGAAGTAGTACAGTTGCTGATTGCACAGTTGGCATAAACCCTAAGCCCTACCTTAACCCTGAATAAGCTACCTTTTTGCGGTTCCTTGTATGATTTCTGTACATAGTTTTTAAGTCCTTAAAAATGTAGGTTCTGCGGGGCTAGGGTAAACCCTAAGCTCATTCAACAGCCCTGTGGCCTTGCTTGTACCTTTCAAGCCCCAGCAGTAGCGAGTTGATTGATGGTTCGCAGGTATTCGTAGGTACCAACCCCAGACTCTTAACCCAAAAAGCCCGGATCCCTACAGTATACAAATCCGAAACCCCCTGAGCCCCATAGACCCCTGAACCCTATATAAACCCTATACCCTATCTAAGACCTATAATTATTTTCCTTACCTTCGAAGTAAACTGCAAAGCCTCCGCGTCAACTGCAATATATCGGAGTTCTCAGCAACAGCAATTTGGCACTCGTAGCTCCTATATGACGATACCGTAGTAGTAGGCCCTTGGATCAAGCCCAAAACCCCAAACTCTAAGGCCCATCTGACTCCTAGCTGGCGTGGGGATGCAAACCTGAAGACGATGCTTTGGGGTCAGGCGTTGCAGGGTTTAGGGTTTAGGGTTTGGGGTTTAGGGTTTCCGTGGTATTTCAGCTTTTGCATAGATTTTTGTAGCTTCCAGCATTTCTACTGAATGACTCATGTGGGCCGTGTATAGCTAAAGTGCAATCTGGCCGCAACTTACCTTAAACGTATGTATGTAGATATTCTTGCAGGCTTCAGGCCTTATCTAACCCTAAGGGTCCATGTACCCATTTGGCATATACTTTCGGCCCGATGTACCTATATAGGGAGTACTTTAAGGCCAATGTATATACTATATGAGTACATGGACCCTTAGGGTAATCTAACCCTCGAGGTAGACACAAAAGGACCAAAGCCGACTCTAATGTCCTCGAAAAACCAAAAGGCCAGGGCTTTTTTCCCTACCGAAAGCTACACCGCCTGAGGCCCTAGGCCCCAAGCCGAGGGTTTATTTTCAAGGGTCCAAAAGGACCCAAAATGTTGGGTCCCATTTGGGCACATGGAACCTGAACGGAAAGGTACCTCCAGAAAGCCAGACGAATCATAGGCTCCCTGAGACCTAAGCCCCAACGGTGGATGATATAAATCCTGCATGACCCAAAATAAGGAATATACCATAATTCCCATAGTTTAGGGTCCTTGAGGTAGTGCAGGATTTATATCATCAACCGAAGGACCTGAAGGAGACAGAAGGCGACATGATGGTCGAGCTCTTCAAGATGGTGGGGGGGTGGATTTCGTTCTTAAGGTCTCACTTAGGTACGGCCCCCATACAGTAAGAGTCTATAATAGGGCTACTATTAAGGTCCTACGATATCTATATTATGAGTGTCATTCAACTATTACTGAGTGCGGGCCGTACCCAAGCTCTCACAGAGGAACCTAGTGAGGGTTTGAGGGGTTAGGGGGCCCTCAACCCCCAAAACCCAAAGCCCTAACGCCCTACACCGCACTTCACGTGGAATCTTGTGCTGCTTACTTCTTACTCTGACTTTTGTGTCGTTGAATGCCACATCAGGCACAAATACAGGGGTTGGGTTGTCATAGAATACCTGTACAGTCCCCGTAACAGTATATTACACTATACCCGAAAGCCCTATTCAAAATGATTCAGGGCCCAGAATCTAGAGATAGGAGCCTACCCTCAGCTATGAACCTTGAGGATGCTCTGCAGACGCGAGTACCCTCTCGTTCGGTAGCTTCCGACCTTTCCGCTGCTTCCGCCAGATACAGAAAGAGGAAGACAAGGAGGACTTGGGGTTGGAGGATGTTACTTACTTAAAGGGTCATGGGACTTAGTAACTGGGTTATAATTAGGGTAATTTAGAATTACTTATAACCCCAATTAGGGTACTTATAACCCTACATAACTAAGTCCCATGATCCGTCAAAGGCCCTCACATCAAGATCCCAAATTTTCATCCCCTTTCAGGCAGGGGGGCTTATTGGTCAGGGTTCAAACCCCGGTATTGAAGGAAAGTGCCCACCGACTTAAAGCAACTTTTCCCGCTCGAGGCAAATCGTACACGGGGTCCTATACGGTTACATGGGGCCCCGTTAAGGGCAGGTGGTCTTCATGTTATGCTTACGAATATCTCGCGCTATGCATTGCCGTGGAAACGCAAGTGAATATCACAACACCACTATACCTGCGGTCGCTGGAGAAAACAGCACACGACACATGCAGACACACAACACACAGAGCCATGCAAAGCACATTTGTGTTAATCTCCCAGACAAGGGGAGGAACCAAATCAATAGCAAAGAAAACAAAATGGAACACACAATTCACACCCCGAAACCCCCAAACCCTGAGCCTCTAAACCCTAAGCCCTAAACGCCTAAACGCCAAACCCCTAAACCCCTAAACCCCTAAACCCCTAAACCCCTGAACCCCTAAACCCCTAAACCCCTAAACCCCTAAACCCTGAAGAACCAAAGAAGCCTAGCTCTCCGAAAGGATTGGGCCGAGCCCATCGTCAAGCTTCCCGGGCCGCTGCGGCCCCCAGCGGCCCCAGCGAAGTACAAGGTACGGGCGGTGTCCAGGATTTTGGGGGGATTGAGTTCAGGGTCTGAGGTTTTAGGGTTTGCTGTTTGAGAATTTTAGGGTTTGCGTTTAGGGTAGGGTTTGAGTTGATGCTTCTAAGGGTTTAGGGTTAGGGTTTTGGGGGGGTTGAGGGTTTATAAAGTTTAGGGGTTTATCGCGGGTTTGGACCAGGGTATGGGCCCTGGTGGGTTGGAGTATTGAGGAAATACGTAGGGCGGTGCATTGGGTTTGACGATGCTTCCTTGCATTTCCCCATCAATCAATGCTGATGAGGGGGGTTCGTGGGGACTTCCTTTCCGAAAGGGTTCCATGGTATAAACTCCAGGCAACTCCATAACCCTCAAACCCAACACCCCAACACCGAAGAACTCACCACAAAATCTTGCAGCCCAAACCTGTTAAGAACTCGGATTTACATTTTGTCATAACATGAAGTCCAACCGGTTTTTGGAACAACAGTTTTCTTGGGTGCAAGGGGATCTGTTGAAACCCTAAACCCCAGACATGGGGCTCTCTGCATGGAGGCTCTGACGAAGATTCGCCTCCGTGTCGCTCCACACAGGTGTCCAGTGCGGGACTCTCGTGCAAGGGCACATGGGTAGTTCTCCGAATCGAAATCGGGGTCTTTTTCTAGGCCACCCAAACTAGTCCGGCACCCTTATCAACGGGACCCTAAAAGGGACCCTACTTTAGAGGACTACCCACATGGTGGCATATGGTTTGGGTTTTAGGGGCATGGATTTGGGCAAGGGTTTCCCTAAGAGTCCGAAGATGAGTGTGGCCAATAATCATATACTCTCGCAAATACTCACATTCATTACTACTATCCCAAAGCTAAGCACCCTATGATTGGGTCCTTTGGACCCTTAAAGTTTAGAGTGCTTCATGTGTTTCCGCCTTCTACACCGGTTTAGCCGGGTCTGGTGGGCTTGGCACTTCATTAATCTCTCAACTCTTGAACTCAAGTAGCGCAATACAGAAGCCTAAATGATTACCGATGTTAATCCGTATGGGTTTCTTTCTATAACCATACTATATAGGAGCCCGAAACCCTATTCAAACCAGCAAGGCCCCTGCAGTACTCCCGGACCTCAGGTTAATTTCGGAAAAGCAACCGGAACTGATAGCATTGACCAACTACGCACTCCTGCATCATGCACCTGGAAAACCCAAGAGCGACACCACAGCGACGCACTACACAGAACCGTGGAAACACACAGGCCCCAAATCACAAACCATCAATCATATCTCCTAGCCCCCAAAACCCGATCACCAAACCCTATCTGCCAAACCCTATACTTATAGAAAACCTGCATGAATTATGAACCCCAATCCTGAATTTTATATGTTTCGGACTTGGGTCCACTGAGCTGTGCAGCTATCCAAGGGGGTCCCGGCACCAATATATTGGGATATAGGTAGATATTTGGGCCCCCAAAGTATATTATATACTAGACTATACCGTTACCTGGACCCTTGGGTATGTTTCCCCCAAATAAACGCGCTTCTCGCGGGCTTTATCTTTATCACAAGCCGAAACCCCAAGCGCTGTACCTGAAACTCATGCTTAAGCTCCAATGCCACTACAGCCTGAGCCTAAACCCTAAACCCCAAACCGCAAACCCTAAACCCCAAACCCCCGAAGCCCGGGACCCAATGCCGAAATTCACGTCTCGTTGCAGCTTGGCGGACCTGACGACGCCCACCTACACCATCCAGCCAGGCGGAAGCTTCACCTGAGACCTGTAATCCCTATAGAACCCTAAAGTCCTGGACGAACTCTATAAAAACCGAAAATCCTATCTGAACCCGAAAGGCATAAACTCCTGCAGTATATGAACCCTCACGAAACTATGCGAAACCAGCAGCAAATCGTGAGCCCTACACCCAAAAAACCCTGTTGGAGCCGGACAGGGGAGGAATTGGAGCAAAGGAGGAAGACTGCAGCGACGAGGCCGAAGAGGTTCAGACGTGACCGAGGCCTGGTCCGTGCCGACGGACCCGTATGAGCTCGCCAACCTTATTGCAGACTGCGACTGTGATGCTTGCTTGCGGTTGCTGAGGCAAGTGAGCGAGTGCAGGCACTGCAGCGAGGGGGTCAAGTACAAGCACGCGTCCACTTGTGTGCTCACATCGTTCCAGTTTGGCAGGGTCACGATTTCTGCATCGCAGGAGTGCCTGCGCTCATTGGGGTCACACAAGCCAGCAGCTTGCCCAAAAGGCTAAGTTCCTAAACCCGAGCGAAAACCACCTCCAAACTCAAAACTCCTCAAGCCAAACCCTATGGTGTAGGGCCGGGGTCTAAAATAAGCGGCCTTAGTAATTACCTATACTTCTTTTGACGGGTTCCTTCTTATAACTTTAGTCTAACCCCCCCCACACCCTATTATAAATATTAAGGCCCCAACAGTAAGGTTCCAAAACTCTACAGTTGGGTATTTGGGAGTGTCAGGGTTTGCCTTCAGGACATACGGTTGATGATATAAATCCTGCATGACCTTAAGGACCCTAAAGTATGGGAATTATGGTGTATATTCCTAAGTATGGGTCATGCATGACCCATAATAATAAGAGATATACCATAATTCCCATAGTTTCGGGTCCATAAGGTACCGCAGGATTGACATCATCAACCGTATGCCCCGAAATCGATCATGATCGCTCAGGCCAGGGACTGCCAACCCACAAAGCGCTGGAAACCCAAAGGCTCCATGTACCCATACAGATGGTACTTAGGTCTCAAAGTACCCATATGGGGACCCCTTTAAGGCCTAAGTACCTACGATATGGGCACATGGAATCTTAGGGGAAGGCAAACCCTAACACTCTCAAGTACCCAACTGTAGAGTTTTGGAACCCTACTGTCGGGGCCTTAATATTTATAATAGGGTTTGGGGATTAGACTAGAGTCATAATTAGCATAATTCAGCGGCCAAATCGATGTACTCATTCCAAGCGTAAAAGGAAGGACCATTAATAGGGACCCCTCGGTATATACCCTTAATATAGCCATTATATACCCATTATATAGCCCATTATAGGGTAGGGGTCTCCATTGAGGGTCCCTCCTTCTCCCCTTTGACTCATACCTGAGGTTTCTTCGGACCCCATGTAAAAAAAAAAAACGCAAGGATCCCCTTCACATTTTCTGGATCCCGGACGCCTCGCATGCTGCATAGACTAGCATAGTTGATACAACTTGGCAGGTGGAAGAGCCAACCTGAACGAACCCGATGCCCTTATGACTTATTCCAACACGGAACACTCTGGGTGCATAGTACACGTGCTCTGGGCCCGCCTTTGATTTCTCTGTTTCGGCGAATTCGGGTTCCTGTGACAAGGTCCGAAATCTCATACGAGTCTTTGTCGGAAACCCACCTAAACCCGAAATTTCAAGACCTAACTGGAGTCTTTCTTGCAAGGACCCCCCTAAACCCGAAAGTTAACTCCAAACCCTTCTTGAACCCCCATCGATTCTCTTTACTTAGGTCCCCAATACCCAACCTTTTAACTTTTTGGGCTCCTATAGTTGAGTAGGAATCGGAAAGTTTAACCTTTCATTTCTGTGGCGTATTGGGTAAGTAAGCTTTAAGAGCCCCTGGAGAGCCTTGTTGAAACCAGGTTTGAGCCTTGGGTACTTGGAGGGTCCGGGGACTTAGTAAGTAGGTAAAAAAGAAGACTTATAAGTACCCTAAAAGGGACCCTAATTTGGGTTATGGTACTTATAAGTCTATAGAATGACTACTTACTAGGTCCCCCGACCCTCCAAGTAGACCCTAAACCCTAAACCTTATAGATCCCTTCAAGGAACCCTATAGATCCCTTTAGGCCTTGTTGAAGCCAGGTTTCAGCATTGGGTAGGACACCCAGCATGTTGCTTCCTTCGTGAAGGCCAAGAGTTCTATGTCGTGGCAGAGCAGGAGCATGAGGAGGGCTTAGGGATGGAGGGTTTAGGGTTTAGGGTTGAGGGTTGAGGGCTTGGGGATGGCTTGAGGCTCGGGGTTGACGGTTTAGGGGGTTAGGATTCGGGTGTGCTGAGGAGCCTGGCCTATTCTAGCCATGGTTGGGAATCGCTGTAGGGTTTAGGAATCCAGAGATATGGTCTATTCTAGACATGGTTAGGAATCGTTCTAGGGTTTAGGAATCCTGAGATATAGGGTCTGAATTTCAAGTTTGTTTTCTGATATTAGGGTCTTTGGCTACACTGACGATGGTCATGAAGCAGTGACGATGGTCATGAGGAGCAGGAGGAATGTAGACTACTGGCAGAGCAAAGGACTACATGCATGCATGACTAGAGCCAAACACTACGTATCGGCCAGGTGAATGTGCACATATTATGTATGTATCGGAGATATAAATACACACATCCATGGCAAGGATGTATTCACAAACATGGATCGCTCTGCCTGTTTGCCTCCAAACCACGTAATATGATATCTTGGCTTTAACAGAGTTCCTAAATTGACTTTGAGGCCTAAGTATGTACTACATAGATGATGCAAATCCTGCATTACCCATAGTAGGGAATATAACATAATTCCGATAGTTTAGGATTCTTAAGGTGATACAGGGTTTGTATCATCAACCATCGGTACATGGAGCTTATGGGAGAGACCTCCCCAAATCATAGCAAAAGTTCCTAATATAGAAACCCTAATAACTTCTACCATATAGGTACTTTGGACCCTTTCGGTAAGTATGTACTAGAGTACCTAAACCCTATATCCTATAACCCTATAGATCCCTTAAAGCAACCCTTTAAAGGGATCCTTATAGATCCCTTTACAGCAGAAGCCCAAAAGTTGGAAACCCAGTAGCCTCCATCCCAAAGAGTCATGTATAGGGAATCCAAGCACAATTTGGCCTTAATCCGGTTTCCAACTTATTGGGATTACTGTATAGTATAGCTGGTTAGACCGCGTCGAAAGCCAGGAAGCCCCCAACGTCCTCTGGCTGCGCACCGACCAGGCTGCCGAACTTCACTGGGCTCCGGGATATCAGGGATCCTTTAATCCCAGGGTAAAAGGAGGGACCCTTAATAAGGACCCCTAGGTATATACCCTTAAGTTATATAATAGTTATTATGTATCCATTATATAGCTCATTGTAGGGTAGGGGTCCCCATTAAGGGTCCCTCCCTTTCCCCTTTGATTAAAGGGATCCTTTGAGGCTTCTATAAAGGGTTTAGGGATTAGAATATAGAGTTTCCCGAAAATTAGGGGCACCTTATATTGGTGTCCATTTAATAAGGATGCTACTGTTTAGGCTGCTGTATTAGGGTTCCCGAATATGATACTTTGTTGCCCCTGTCCCGTAAAGGAACCATTATGAAACAAAAGCTGGGTTCTGGAATATCATACCTTCGTGCTGTTTTGGGACTTGTTGTTCGAAGGAACCTTTATGAAATAACAGTCTATACTTGCATCACCCTGGGTACTTCAAAGTTCAGTTCGAGATCAGGTTTCTATTGGATTGACCCCCTAAGCCTAACATTTCTCAACCACACCCACAACCCTAGAACCCTAAATCACTCCCTACCCCGCGAAACCCAAACCCCTAACCCCTAAACCCAAGTTCAGGCATTTATTGGGTTGGAACCAAAACCAGACCCAAACTCTACACCCCTGTATCCTAAACCCTAAACCCAAGATCAGGGTTGTAGTGGTTTGAAAAGCGCCTTTCCACTTAGGGAGGGCATAGAAAGTAATATTTCTAGAATGTTCGGACAGTAGTGGAATTGTAGACTTGCTTTGCAGATAGCGCTCAGCCGTTGTTCGTCCCGTCTTTCGAGCTATCACATTCCCGCCGAACCTGAGAGCGGATCCCCCGCAACGACGGACTCTTTCGAATTCAACTGCAGCGGTTACAGGGTGTCAAGTGTAATCAAACCAAACATCATATCCTAAAGGGATCAAGGTTTGAAGATCCCCAAACCCCAAAGACCCAGCCAGCAAGGCATTAAACTTGGGGAATCCCGGAAATCCCAGAACCAAGAACCCTAAACACTCAAGTGTTCATATTCTTTTAAACCCCAAAACCCCAAACCCCAAAATCCGAACTTCTACAGCCCAGACGCCGTAAACCCCAAACTCCACGACACAGCCAGGATGCGGGGGGTGCCTGGCTCCTCGAAAGGCCGCTGACGGGGCAAGCCTTAAGGGTTGAGGCTTAAGGGTTCAGGGCTTTATGATTAGGATAGCTTAGGGTTTGGGGGGTTCAGGGCTTACGTTTAGGATAGCTTAGGGTTTTGGGGGTTCAGGGCTTTATGTTTAGGATAGCTTAGGGTTTGGGGGTTTTGGGTTGACTTGTGGTGTTGGTTTTGTATTGTCCCCTTATGGTCCCTCGTACACCTCGACTGTTGCTATAACTAGCCATTGATATTGGAGGAGCTAAGGAGCCAGGGATGATGATAATCCCTATTGAATAAGGAGCTAAAGAGCCAAGGGAGCCCCAAAACCACTGGTTCGATAGCATACTTAAAGGGTCATGGGACTTAGTAACTAGGGTTACAATTAGGGTAGCTATACTTATAATTACTTATAACCCCAATTAGGGTACTTATAACCCTACTTACTAAGTCCCATGATCCTCCAAGTACCACAAGTCCCTGCGTGATTTAGTCTGGTAATAACCTGTGCTCTCCCACGCCTCTCCGCTGTTGAGATGCCGTTTTGTTGTTTGGGGATTCTACTTACAGGATCATAGTAAGTAAGGTTATAAACAAAGGGACTATACTTACAATTACATATGAGAGTTTCCGAAAATAGGGGAGCCTAATATAGCACCCGAAATCGTAGGATCCTTACTATAAGGACCCCAAAGAAGGTGCCCCAAATTTTCGGGAACTCTAAACCCTAGGCCCCTTTAAGGAACCCTTATAGGATCCCTTTAAGGAACTTTGAAAAGAACCCCCAAATACGGTAGGTATTGCCTTGCAGAGTCTCAAGATGCTCCAAGTAACTATCATTATAGGATCCTTAAGGGAGGGTGGTTCAAGGGGGGAGGGTATAAGGAATCCTTAGGGGACTGTGAGGGAACCTTAGGGAGTACTAGGGAGAATTAGGGTTCACTAGGCTATATACCCCCCCTTGGACCCCCCTCCCTTAAGGATACTACAATATCAGCCCTGAGGCCCCATCATGTAGTGCCAAGGGGGTCTAGGGTTCAGGGTTTAGGGGTCTAGGGTTTTTAGGGGTTTAGGGTTTAGGATGTAATGGTTTAGGGGTTTATAGGGTTTAGGGTTTAGGGGTTTAGGGGTTTTTGGGTTTAGGGTTTCAGACTTCTTAGCCTATCAGCTGTTGAAACCCGGGTCCTGCGCCGCCTGAGCCCATACAACAAGTCTCCTTCAATGTGTGGTCCCTTGTCATAAAGTGGAATCATTCAATGCGGTTTGTTTCCTTATTCGAGCCAGTACCAAAAAATGGTGGCCTAAGACATGCGCTTTTTGTTGGGCTGGTGGATTCTGTTGGTGGGTCTGCTCCTGTCGCCTGATAGTCAATCTTAAGGCACCCACGACCCTAATCCCCTACTCCAAACCCTAATGCCCTGGCCCTGAAGCCCTAAACCCCACACCCTAAAGGGAACTCCAGAAAGTTGGAATATGGATTAATGGTAGGATGCCCTATAATTTACCTTAAAGGGGTTACGATAATGATATTCCAACTTTCTGGCTTCTACTGTAAACCTTAAACCCTACACCCTAAACCAAACCCGAAACCCACAAACTTAAGCCGAAGGGTCACGGACACCAGACTATTGAAGCCAAAAGTTTTGGTCGTTGGGGGGGGGGGGCCCTATTAAACGGGCCGCCTCATGAACGGTGGAGGGAAGTGAGAGAAGGAGCCAAACAAAATAACTCGAGAACACGCGAGTAAGCCATAAACTCCATACCCAACACCCTACCCCCCCAAGCATCCATACACTACCGTAAACCAAGAACTTGCGGGTACCTGTGCCAACCATTGTACAGTACAAGCCCAAAAGTTGGAAACCCAATAGCCTCAATCCTTCAGAGAAATGTATAGGAAATCCTAGCACCAGTTGGCCTCAATCCGGTTTCCAACTCTATGGGGTTTACTGTAAGGGTCCTATGAGGGCACATTGCAAGGGTTTAGTATAGGGGCCTTAGGAATTAAAGTAGGGCTTTGGGGCCCATTATACTCTAATTCCTTTACGGCGTATACTGTAGGGTTCTAGGCTATTCAGTAACCCACTGGGAAAAAGTATATACTATAAACCCTAAACCCTACAGTAAACCCTAAACCCTAAACCGTAGTATATACTGGTCTAGGCTTCTGTCGGAACCCAGAAACCCCTTCGTCCCACGGCTGCTGGCGCAGGGGGGTGGCCGGTGCCTTTGCAAACAAGAAGGCACCCAGACCTTCCAAATCCTAAATTCAGGAATATTCTGGATATACCCATAAATTATGATCCTAATTTCAGAATTATACTAGATATACCCATAAACTATGATAGGATCCCTATGATATGATTGAAGGTATATTTTGCATAGTTAAGGGATTTTTTGAAATCTCTTGGCGCCTCGCAGCAGCTCGCGGCTTTCGCGTAGTTCGGGGATCGAGGTTCCAGTCTCGGGGATTTAGGCTTGTAACTAAGCTTAGGGTTTAGGCTTTAGGGTTGAAGGGTTTAGGGTGTAGGGAGGGTTCCAGGTTTTGGGGGCTTCGTGCTTAAAACTCGGAGTCTTCGGAGACCACCTCGAAGCCACGAGGGGTCTTGACACGAGATCCCGGACGGGAGGTTTCTCTTTGTCATACGGTTGATGACATAAAAGCTGCATTACTTTAAGGACTCTACACTATGGGGATTATGGTATATTCCTTGTTATGGGTCATGCAGGATGTGTATCATCAACAGTAGTTGGGCCTCATTCCGCATTTTTATGGGTACTAAACCCAGTAAGGAATAAACATGTGCATTTTTAGTCGTATCCCAACAAGGAACTAGTTCAGAAGCTTGCAGGGTTGAGTTTGGGTTTCAGGTTTCGGGTTCTCGAGTGTTTGCCTCTATATTTCATGTAGCTTATGCCGTGCAGTGTGTATCAAGAAAAGACAGGCCTGTCTGAGTCTAAGTGGGAGTTTCCGAAAATTAGGGGTACCTGAACCCGGGGTCCTTAGTGAGGATCCTACTGCTCAAGGAATTTAAGATACTATATTTGGGTCCCTATTTTCGGAGATTCCCAAGTGAAACTTCAGCTTTTCGCCTAGCAGTGCTGGGCTTTTTTTTCAAGGTTTAATCTGTGACGTTGAGACCCCGCGCTGAAGTACCTACGTAGGGACTGCTTTAAGGCCCAGCTATACAATACTTGGGCACAAGGACCAATCATGAGGGCATTAGGGCAAGTTTGTACTGTCCATTATCTAGGGTCCTGCATCAACTGCGTCCTTTGGGTTTCAGAATGCAAGCATAAACGCAAATCTCTACTCGAATTGGCTGGCCACAAACCCTGGAGCCCTAAACCCTAAACCCTAAACCCGAAACCCTAAACCCTAAACCCGAAACCCTAAACCCTAAACCCCAACAGGTTGTTCGGCGTATTGCCGGCACCCTCGGCGCCACCAAGGCCCTGCCGTTGCTTAGGCCTTTTAAAGCCCCAGGGGTCCCATCTGTACTGTTATGGGGGATATACTTCCCTAAAATCTTAATAGTAATTCCTACGGTTGATGATATAAATCCTGCATGACCCATAATAAGGAATCTACCATAATTCCCATAATTGAGGGTCATTAAGGTAATGCAGGATTTATATCATCAACCGTAGTATGGAAACCCTATAAATTCTACCATATCGGTACATATGACCATTTGGGTAGGCTTTTGAGGTTTGAAGATCTCAGGCTTCAGGGTTGCTGGTGTCGTGCCAGACTCAAGCTTGATGTCTGGGTCCCCCGGGTGGTGATACATGGGCAGTAATAACTTCAACATGGCTTTGGGATGTTTTGGGTATAGGAACTACTAATTACAAACAACAAAGGAACCCTAGGCATCTATGGACTCATATATTAAGGCTTTTGGGCCCAAAGACCATATTATTTAACGCTTTTGGGCTATTTTGATGCCCAGGGGAATATGTAATGTAACAAGGGCCCTATGGAATAAAGGGAACTCCAGAAAGTTGGAATATGGTTTCATGGTAGGATACCCTATAATTTACCATAGAAGGGTTAGGATAATCATATTCCAACTTTCTGAATTTTACTTTAGTATTGATAACTCTTCAGGCCCTCGCTCATATCGTCCCTGTTCGCGTGTGTTTAGGGGTCTCCATTGAGGCACCGGCCGACAGAGAGATGGCATCGTTGCTTGAAGGATCAGGGGACTCAGCAAGAAGCTCCGAATGCGGCGGTTTGTGTGCCCTACTTGAGGTATCAGTTTTCCAAGCTTGCTTCTTGCGCAGTCCCCTAACCCTAAACCTACATGACCTTCCTACCTGCTCTCCTTCAAGTTTCAAGTGTCGTCCAGGGGTGACAGGAAAACCTGGTACTATAAGATGGCCGAGGCTCGCCTCTGTTGCCCTAGTAGTAGAGTAGGTAGCCTTTCACTTTTTTGGGGTACCATAATCCCCATGTAATCCCAATACATGCCCAAAGGTTGTAGTTCCCCAGGATACTTTGAAGAACTGCGAGGCCGGAGCCCACTCTAGGACACCAACACCTCTGTCACTTAGTGAATACACCTGACAGTACAAAAGCATCCCTGATTTTCTGCCTGCCTGCCTGCCTGTCTGTCTGTCTGTCTGTTCGAATTATTCTTACTGTACGCATATCTAATTACTGATCACTTCAGGCCCCTAAACCCCCAAACCCCTAAACCCCAAACCTCTAAACCCTAAACCCCTATAACCCCTAAACCCCTAAAGCCCCAAACCAAATGCCCTTCTCTGCCGCAGCGCCCGCCGCTGATGGAGATCTCTGAGGTGCCGACGGAGCTTGCCGAAGAGGCCGATAAAGGACATGCCTTTGGGGTTTAGGGTTTGGGGTTTATAAGGTTTAAGGTTTAGGGCTTGGGCAAAAGGGTTTCAGGTTTTTTGGGTTTTCAGGGCTTCTAGTTTGGGTGATCTAAAACGTTTGGGGCTTGGGAATTCTTCTGGGTCTTTCTTGCCTTTTATGCTTCATGGTTGTGCATTTAGGGGTTGTTATAAGGGTTCAGGGCTCATACAAGGGTTTAGGGTTCATATCGGCTGTAGCTGAATAAATTTCCATATCGAAGGGATCCTTAGAGGCATTGCGCAAGCTGTTCTGACTTTTTGTTTTGGATGAGCCATTATGTTTCGATGGCTTTCTATCTTGAACCACGAGGTTTTCACAGAGACTTGTGCCAGGCTTGTGACGTGTTTATATGTATGGGTTGGAAGCTGCCCCCACCCTGTAATAGTGACTAATTATAAGGACTATATTAGGGCCCTATTATATTCCTATTATGCCACTATTACAGGGTGGGGGCAGCTTCTAATGCATGGGTGTTTGCTTGGGCCCTGACAACGAAGTGAACCGGCAAGTCTTCGAGACCTCAGCTCCGAGGTACATGTGATCCCGGACCGCCATGGTTCTTGGTTTATACTAGAAGCCCAAAGGTTGGAAACCCGGTAGCCTCCATCCCAAAGAGTCATGTATAGGGAATCCCAGCACTATTTGGCCTTAATCCGGTTTCCAACTTTTTGGGGCTTACTGTAACTTCTAGGCTTAGTTTGAAGTGTAGTGCTCTTGTGCCCTATTGGGACCGGCATATTGAAAATGTGGCAAGGTCACCAGGCAAATATGCATATCTCATAAGATATGCCAAAGTATATACTATTGGGCACAGGGTCCCTCAGGGATATGCCCTGGAAACAATCGTGTGCTCGAAGTGGGCTGAAAGAATGAACCAGCCCCGGTATTGGATCCCCCAATCCCTAAGGTTCCATGTAGCCATATAATAGGTACTTAGGGTTTGACAGTACCCCTATAGGGACCCCTTTACGGCCTAAGTACCTACTATATGGGCACATGGAGTCTTGGGGAATGTTCAGCCCGAAATCCTGAACCCTCAAACCTAAATAAGCCCAGCATCCTCAACCCATGCTCGCTGCTTGGAGGAACATGGGACTTAGTAGGTGCAGTTATAAGTACCCTAACTGGGGGTATAAGTAGTTATTAATTACAAGTACAGTTACCCTAATTAGAACCCTAGCCCTAGTTACTAAGTCCCATGATCCTTTACGTGGGCCCGATGTACCGCTGCTTCGGAATCTTCACCCTGTCCCCCAGGGTCCAAGGGACCCAATAATCAGGTACTCGGTTTTAGGATAGTAGTTATGTAGGTTAGGATTCTGGAGAGTCTATGATTATCAGGGGGTGTACCCTAAACCCTAAACCCTAAACCCCAAACCCCAAACCCCAAACTCTGAGCCCTGGCAAGGCAGCGGAACTAGCCCTGGAAGCGGAGGCGATGATGTTGGGTCCGAGTCCGCAGGTTTTAAAAGCGGTCCCTACCCCAGACCCCCGGGAGGATCTAGAAAGTAGATCCCCTAGGGTACTTCATAGGAACCCCCATTAAGGGATCTACTTTTTGGATCCTCCCTCTGGGACAAAGGCGCTCTAACCAAAAGCCCCACAGAGCATACACTTAGCCCTTGAAGGGACTCCTATATAGGTACTTTGCTGGGTATCGATTTCGGGTTGTTTTTTAGATTCCCTTATTGTTTAATCTAGCGCCCGAATTATACATAATTTTGGGGGACTGTTGACATCGACGCCTCGTTCAAGGCCTCTGTAGTATATCCTTAGCCTTTACAGGGGGTAGTTTGCCCATGAAATCGACAGCTAGTTTAGGCCTATAGTAGAAGCCAGAAAGTTGGAACATCAGACTCCTGATGCCCTTAAGGTAAAGTATAACAGATCCTACGGTTGATGATCTATAATCCTGCTTTACCTTAAGGACCCTAAACTACGGGAATAATGGTATATTCCTTCTTATGTGTAATGCAGGATTTATATCATCAACTGTAGCACTAATCTTCCTAAAGCCATGTTCCAACTTTCTGGATTTCCCTTTAAGTGTATGCTACATAGGCACATGGAGCCTTAGTGAGGCTTTGTCTACTTGGAGGGTCAGGGGACTTAGTAAGTAGATAATAAATATACGTATAAGTACCATAACCTCAATTAAGATCCCTTTTGGGGTGCTTATAAGTCTACTTATTACCTAATTACTAGTCCCCCGATCCTCCAAGTAGGGAGTTGGAGTTAAGGCTGTCGGTCGGATGGCTTGGGCTTTATGACGATTGCCTTATATGAGTCGTAAAAGAAGGGAGGTTATCTGAGGCCCAGTAAGCAATACCTAGGGTTCCCTGAAGGGATCTATAGGGCTTAGGGTTCAGAAGCACACCAAACCCGAAGCTTTAATTGGCATCTGTTTCTAGACAGCATACCAATGCAATGCTTGGCTCGACGTTTGTTTTGGTTTGTTTTTGGGTTGCATGTGCTCCACGGGCATGCTGCCGATGCTGCCGAATCATGCAGTTGCTGAAGAGTGTATAAGTGTCTGCAATTTATGATGCTGCTGCGCGATTCTTAGCCTTACGTGTCACAGCTTCCATTCGGCAGTCTACAAATGCTCTATCTATTCGGAGGCCATGAGAAGGAGCTCCTAAGGCTGAATGCAGGGTTTAGGGTTTAGGTGTTTAGGTTTAGGGTTTTGGGATTTAAGCTTTTCTTCAACAAGCTCAACAGCAACTTCGCGGCTGCATTGAGCCTTAGGGCCCTGTCTTTCGATTTTTGGACGGTCCCCCAACCTCGACAGGCGCTACCGCCGCTGCCGTCCAACCAGAAGAAGAGGGAAGAGCGGGAAGAGTTCGCGGGCGTGTCGGGAATCCCAGCCTTCGGAGGTGAGCTCATAGTACGGGTTTTAGTGTTCATCTAAGATCCCCCAAACCCAAACTTTAAGCTTGTTGGGCTCCTGTAGTTTAGTAGCAATCGGAAACTTCAACCTTCCATTTGTGTGGCGTATTGGCTAAGTAAGTACTACGGGTTTTAGTGATTTTAGTGTTTGTAGTTTATGGTTTAGTCTGGGGACCCATAGCAACTCCAGTCTTGTCACTGCATTACTGTTGTTGGTGCTGTTGTTTGATGTGGCCTTTCAGCTCAATCACAGTTCGCTCAACAAACAAGGTGGCTTTCCGCAGCTGTCGGAGCTGTGACGGTTTCATCGCCCACACCCCCACACCGCGAATGCTTCACCCCTACAGAACCTACGTACCTTTCCATGATTCCCTTTAAAAGTCTTTAAAAGGGCCGGGCCCTCATCTCTAAAAGCCTAAACCCCTAAGCCCTACGTATTGGAGATGGTTACCGTAAATGACGTACCTTTCAGGGTTCCTTATCATCATTTCCTTGTATGGGTAGTTCTCTAAATTGGGGGTCCCTTTTTGGGTCCCTAAGGTTCCCAAAACAGATCGGCACCCTTATAGACGGAACCCTGAACGCGGACCCTAATTTAGAGAACTACCCATATAAGTCCTTTGAAGGGTAGGTCGTGAGGGGTTCTAGTAGCCCTGCACGTAAGGCTCCATGTATCTGAAGACTATGCTAAGGCTTAAATGGGTCTAGGTTGGATTTTGGGACATTTTTTATATTCCTTATTTGGGTTTATAAGGGACCCTATATATAAAAAACTTTTCAGGGTGTTTAAAGGCCAACCCAGGGGTTCCTATATTCCAGCGTAAAGCCTAAGTATATACTATATGGGCACATGGCGCCGTAGGGCTGCCTTAACTTAGCCCCAAATAACCTACCTTCCCAAGGACGCCAGGGAAGTCATAACCAGGAACTTCAAGAAGATAGTTTTTTGGAGGGTTAGGTATTACCAGAGTGTGGCCGCCTACAATACAAAGGCGCCCTAAGCTCTCAGCTTCGAAAGATAATGTAATAATGCCCATGCCCCTCCTTGTTGCTGTGCTCCGTTTGCCAACTTGCGTATCCCTTACCCCACACCCACCCAACCCTAAAATCTAAACCCTAAACCCTAACCCCGCTGGGCCCACCTACCCCACATCCCAAATCCCTGCAGGAATATGCAGCCGCCTAGTCCCTATGAGCGCCGCCAGCCTATCCTCGAGCTCCTGGAGGCATTGCCACAGTACCACGTAGTCTAATCGTAAGATAGTAGTTGCAACAACGCTTCAGTTTATATACCCTAAGCCCTATCTATGTGGTCTATATGTAGCATTTGGGAACTTTGGCCCTTTACGTGCGGAATGGTTCTTTTTTAAGTGCGGATGTACAGGATTTAAGATTTGAGGTCGAAGTAGGATTTAGCTACCACATGTTACATGGGATAGGTAGCGGAGCCCGGGCTGCATGCAGAAAGTGTTCTAGCACGGCACCACGACCTGCTCCTAGCTCCTTGGGTTCTGGTTGCCTAAAGGGGGTCGCCCGGACCCGGTTTCGTAGCGCCTTCCTTGGCTCCTAGCTCCTTCCTGCAGGAAACGGACCTGGGCTGTGAAGGTCCAGAGTTTGTCGCTTACGAACTTGAAATCAGTAGTAGTGGCTTATCGGATCTAGGCTCGCAGTGGTGCTAAAACTAGTTGTGTTGGTGCTAGATGCTCATACGTTGTCAAGCCCTAACGCTCCATGTACTTTTCTAGTATATACTTAGGCCTTAAAGTACCTATATAGGGACCCCTTTAAGGCTTAAGTACCTACTATATGGGCACATGGAGTCTTAGGGTCATACGTTGTCAAGGCAGCAGCCCTTCTTGGAACAATCCGGAACCTTCCAAAGATTCAATGCAGGGTCCGCGCTAGGCCTTGCCGGGGTAGCAAGTCGTTTTCTCACACTTACAAGGAGCTGCATATTGCACACTATAGAAGCCAAAACTAAATTAAACTGCGCATCGACCAAAATCTCGGATTTAGCGTTCCACCATCATCCCCCCTCAATATGTGAAGTGTAATCCAAGGCTTTAGACCCCTACCCTGAACTTCAACCCGAATCCTAGTCCGAAACAACTGACCGGCTATCGCCACCGGTGTTGTCTGCATGGCAGGACCCTGAGATTCAAGCGGTTTGCAAGGACCGGCAGAAAGCCTTCACCGTTTTAGCTTTCGGGTTAGTGTTTTCAAGTTCCGATTGTTTGTGCATATCGGTTTCAACTTAGACTTGTTTCTCCATGCTTGGTGAAGAATGTGGTTGGTTTCATTTGGGCTTCTTACGTTCTTGTATAGGTTTTTTGTATCTGAAGTGTAGCCGTGGCCATCGGCGGTTTACTCAGATGAATGTCGAACCGCCTTATACTTATTCTTCGTCTTTTTCTTACCCTTAGCCGAAGCCCAACCCGCTAAACCCCTAAACCCTAAATCCTTGACCCAGAACCCCGGTGTTCTTGCAGTTACAAGGCCCTAAACCCCAAACCCTAAACCTTGGCTAACGTCTTCCATGGGACAGGGACCCTTGATGAACCTTTTGGCTTGAACGCTCCTCGGTAGGCTAAGCGTCCATGTTTTTGGCGTAGCTTGCCCTAAAGCCCTTTTCGATTTACTAAGGCACTCAGGCCTCTGTATTAAGTGACAGGTTAGTTGGGCCCCTTATGATATTATCCGAACGGGTTGTGGCATCTAAGCCTAAACCTGTATTAGTTGGGCACTTGGACCCCCTAGGTTACCTACAGCCGTTTGTCATTCTAGGGGTGTGCTAAGCCAGAGTATTTGTCTAGCTAGTTGTTTTCACCACGAACCCTGAAAATCCTGAACCTACCACAAGCCTAAACCCTAAACCCTAAGCCAACCACATATCCGGAGGAGATGGGTGCTGACATGGAAACTTTGCGAAAGAACCCTGCCTTCATCGAGGATTGCAGAGCTAAGTTCAATCTGGGATTCACAGTGGCTGGAACAGGGCTTGGTGTGTGCCTGAACCCGAAAATGTGAGACATCTGCTTGGCGTTTTACATTTTGGTTTTCCTGTACATGTCGTGCATCTACAGGCTTCGTTTGTTGTCTTTTTTTGCGGAGTGTGCTCATGCTTAGGGCTTCGTAGGTAACCCCAAGGGTCCAAAGGACCCAATAATCAGGTACTCGGTTTTAGGATAGTAGTTATGTAGGCTAGGATTTGGGAGAGTATATGATTATTGGGTACTTGGACCCTTGGGGTAAGTGGTATGGCATACATGAGTATGAATGCAAATCAGTGTGCAAAGGCTCTATTATTGATGTGTGTATACATGACTGGGGAGTTTCCTATAATATAGTGCTCTAAATAGTGGGATCCTTATCCTAAGGACCCCAAATCAGGTATTCCGAACTATCGGAAGCTCTAAACCCTAAACCCTTTGTAGAACCCTGATAGATCCCTTTAAGGAACCCTTGAAGGACCCCAAATATGGAAACTCCCAAATATCTACACACAGAGAGAGACAAGCGGCGCATCAGAAGCCTTCAGCTGTTTGTTTGTGCCGGTGGGATGTTGGGGCGCAGTACTTCTGTCCTAGCTCCAAGCAGGTATTTTGTAGAGACTTTAGACCCCAAAGTAGGTGTCATTGGAATACTCTGGAGTCTTAGGGCAAACCCTAAACCCTAAACCGGTTTAGGGTATAGGGTTCAGGGTCTTAGGGTTAGTGTATGGCTCTTCTGCGCAACTTCAGGGACTATGTCTCGAACCCAAGTCATCACCACATTTTCTCGACACTGAGTACTACGGTTGATGGTATAAATCCTGCATAACCTTAAGGACCCTAAGCTATGGGAATGATGGTGCATTCCTTATTGTGGGTAATGCAGGATTTATATCATCAACCGTATTTTGGAGTCCCCCATTATAGTCATAGTATAGTATACACCAAAACCCTATTCTAATTCGCAAGGCCGTTAAAATTACCTCCCAGCAGACAGTTTCTTAGGGCTTGGGGTGCCCAGACTCTACTTGGGGGATCATGGGACTTAGTAAGTAGTTATTTTAGAGACTTATAAGTACCATAACCCCCATTAGGATCCTTTTAGGGTACATATGAGTCTACTTATTACCTACTTACTAAGTCCCACTGAACCCTGAACCCTAAACCCTATACTACCCTTATGGAGCCCTTTAAAGGAACCCTTAGAATCCCCTTTAAAGGAGCACCTACTTACTAAGTCCCCCGACCCTCCAAGTACGGACCAAGAGCGCCCGGGGTTCTGTCAGCTTTAGGTCTCAAACCTAAGAGACTTGATAGCGGTTTAGGGTTTAGTTTTTAGGGTTTAGGGTTTAGGGGAGATCATGTGCAGTTTTTAGAATTGGGATCCCTTTAGGGGTCCTTTTTTGTAAGTTAGTCACCATGTTTCCGGTTGAAGTTTGGTTTGTGGTATGGGGTCGGTTCAGTGCTTTGAGGTACACTGCTGATGATTGTTTACATAGCTAAGCTTCGATGGTCACTTAATCGTACTGCGAGCATGAAGTAAGAGACCCAAAGGGCCCTACTGTTGATGGACAAAATCCTGCATTACCCATTATGAGGGATATACCATAGTTCCCATAGTTTAGAGTCCTTAGGGTCATGCAGGATTTTGTCCATCAGCAGTATGTACTGTTATGGGGTATACTTCCCTAAGTCATAATTGTAATTCCTAATATGGAAAACCTACATTCTACTATATCGGTACATAGGACCCTTTGGGAGAATCCAAGAGCGGGCTGCTATACATCCCCCAATTCAGGTTTCAGGTTTCTGAAGCCCGCTTCGGGATTTCATATCTTTGTCCTTACTGAGGGGAGGATACTCATTTGCTTGCTCCGCAGCCCGGCAGGAGATCGCCAGACAGCTCTATGGCGATGAAGTCGTCTCGTAGTGCTGACAGCCGCTGCTTTCCACATGTCTAGGTCCACTGGTTCTACAGTGTGTTTGTATATGTGTGTGTGTTGCACGAGCTTACATGTGTATGACTGGTTGTTCTGAATCTCTCATGCGCCCCCTTATTGCAGAAAAGAGGGGTTTATGAAAGAGACCTCACATCACCCCTGCTCTCTATAGTTCAGTTTCGACTGAAAACCACAAAGCCTTGACCATCAGGGCCTCCGTAGCAAAAAACCGACGATGTGCTTGCCTGGTGAAAAAAGCATGTCGGAGATGGATTTAGAGTTTGGGTTCGAGGTGTACGGTGAACAGCTTGCAAGGTGACTCACCCCAAGTCGGGTTCAGCAGTACTGGACTTTGCCAATTCGTGGTAAACCTTCCCTTTTTAACTTAGATCCCCAATAGCAAACCTTTGAATTTTTGGGTTCTCTCATTTAGTAGGAATCGGACGGTTTAACCTTCTATTTCTGTGGTATATTGGGGAAGTAAGTTAAGCATCCTCAACCCCTAAGAGTCGGGTTGCTTAAGCATGTGGGTAGTTGTCAAAATTATGGCCCCTTTTTGGGTACCCTAAATATTAGGTGCCGTATTTTATTAAAGGGAACTCCAGAATTAAAGTTGGAATATGGTTTCAGGGTAGGATACCTTATAATTTACCATACAGGGTTTAGGATAATCATATTGCAACTTTCTGGGACCCTAATTACCCTAAATATTAGGTGCCGTATTATATTAAGCAGCCAAAAAGGGACCCTAATTTTGGGAAACTCCCACCTGTTTAGGTTTCCTGTTTTTGATTCCCTAAATTTTGACAACCACCCAATGGATTCCCAGCCAGCAGTTTATTCTTCCGGTCACGGGTCTTGGAGTTTGGGAGGATTCCTTATAGGATCCTTAAGGGGGGGTGGTTCAAGGGGGGAGGGTACAAGGAATCCTTACAGGAACCTTGCACTAGGCTATATACCCCCCTTGGAGCCTCCTCCCTTAAGGATACTATACATTCCGGAACTTAGCAGAGCCAGCTATACTGAGGAACTGAACCCTCACGGTCCATGTACCCAGGTAGTATATACTTTGGCCTTAACGTACTCCCTATACTGGTACATTGGGCCCGAAGTATGTAATATTTGGGTACATGGACCCTCAGGGGAAGTTGATGCCTTGGCACCTCTCGCACTTTGTCCGAACGCACAGGGCACTCACCAGTCCCAGAGCCTCTGCCGAAGCAAAAATGCCCTGCAACTACTGCTGTTTTTTGCAGTACTGCCAAATCTTACTGCCACCACAACTGCCAGTGATCTGAAGCTGCTGAGGTTAAACTATAGAACTGCACTAGCGTTGCGTTCGCAAGTTTAGGCCCTAATCCCGAAGCCCGTCTCCCTGATAGCCCCAATGGTTCCTACAGTGTACTCTTCTACACCCTCGACCAGAACTGCGTGTCAGCAAGTCGCCTAACCTCAGTTGCGATTCCAATTTTCTTCGATGGCCAGGTTTTTTACAGAGGAATGGATGGCTTGGGTATTCAGTTGGTTCAGGTGGTTTAGGGTTTAGGGGTGTAGGGATGGTTTAGGGTTTTTGTTGTGGGGATGGCTTCGGTTTTCAGTTTTGAGGCTCGAAATTTCAGGTCGCTGTAATCCTTCAGCTCCACAGCCCCAAACTCTCAACACACCAACTCGCCCGAACTCACAGCCCTAAACAGTAAACCGAAAACCTCGATAACCAGTACTACGGTTGATGATATGAATCCTGCATGACCCATAATAAGGAATAAGGAATACACCATAATTCCCATAGTGTAGAGTCCTTAAGGCCTTAAGGTAATGCAGGATTCATATCATCAACCGTAGGACCTAGAGTAGGGCCATATTCTCTTTTTGGGGGGGGTTCAGGTTCCATCCCTCTAATCCAAAAAAGGGCGCCCTTTTTTTCCTGGATTACTCTTGGGTCTAGTGTAGAACACTGCTCTAAGGGTTCGCAGGATAGAAGCAGTACATCTCGACATGTAAGGAGCAGCTTCTCGAGCGAAAGATGTACTACATGATCTTTGATCACCAATACCCGACCTTCGAACTTGTTGGATTCCTATAGTTTAGTAGGAATCAGAAAGTTTATAACCTTTTGTTTCTGTGTCTAAGTGGGGGTGTAGGTGCTGCTACATGAGCACCCCCCGGCCGATACCATACTGGTTGGGCAAGTTTCCTGCAAGCCCTGTAACACCACAATAGCCACAGCCCCTCCAATGAGATGCATGCGTTCGTGAATACAACGATCGTAGATATTCAAATATTCATGTCATGGTAAGTACAAAACTGACAGTTATGATCATACATGTAACTATCACCCTAAAGCCTAAACCCCATAACTATGACAAAAGAAGACTCGAAGCCCTAAAACCCGAAACCCCAAACCATGAACCATCACAAGAACCCTAAACCCTGAACCCTAAGCCTATATGCTAGACCCTAAACCCTAAACCCGAAATCCTAAACCCTAAAACCTCGAACCCTGAGAAGAAGAGTGCCAGGGAGCACCTCGAGCAGGAGCAGACATCTGCCATCAAGGCAAGCGCGGTGCAGACCAGAAGGGGAGGGGGTTGGCTTTCAGAGGGCATGAGGGTGTGATATAAATCCTACATGACCCAAAATAAGGAATAGACCATAATTCCCATAGTTTCGGGTCCTTAAGGTAATGCAGGATTTATATCATCAGCAGTAGGGTGGTTTAGGCTTCAGGCTTTAGGGGTTCTTCCGGTTTAGGGTTCTTACGGCCTTGTTCAGGATTTTAGGCTGTAAGGGGTTTAGGGCTTATGTAGGGTTTAGGGTTCAGAGGTAGGTTATCCCAGGGGGGGAATGATTGGCTTTCAGAGGTTATAAGTTTTCTACTTGTCAAGGGTTCTCTGTGTAGTTTTCTAGTCTTCCCGGGTTTTGATTTTATGGTATCGTTCCAGGTTTTAAGATTTAAGAGGTTTAGGGGGTACAGGTTTGGTTGTGCTGTAGGCCGTCGGGATTGGGGTTCAGGCTTTAGATTCGGGTTTTGGGGGTTTAGAGTTTGGAGTTTAGGCTGTGAGATTGGAGTCCCAGAGAATCCAATATCCCTTAATTAAGGAATATACCTTACTATCATATTTGGGATCCTAATATAACTTAAGGTATATTCCTTACTTAAGGGATGTTGGAGTCTCTGGGTCTAGGAGTCTAACCCCTAAACCCTAAACCCTGGGAGTTTACGCTTCCGGGCAAAGGGTTTAGGTAGCCGTCACCTCCCCGGCAAACTCCTTCCGCCAGAAAGCCGAAAGCCTTGAAGCAGTCGAAAGCGCGAAACCATAAACCCTAAACGCGAACCCTAAGGCTCCAAGTAGTCCGTATTTGTGGTTTTTGGTACCTAGTAAGGCCTTAAAGTCCTATAATAGGGAGTACTTGGACCCTCTGGGGAAATCCTAAACCCGAAATCCTACTACACGTAGTTGGGAGCCGACTGTGGCGGACGAAAAGGCCTCTATGTCCAATCCACAGGACGATTGGGCCTGGTGGGCCTGGAATGACGAGCGCTCGTCTGCGGGTAAGCTTCTGACGGCCACCGGGCTGCAACTTTGATACCCGAAGGGTGCAAAGGACACATACTTGGAGGGTTGGGGGACTTCGTATATAAGTAAGTTTGCAGAAAAAAGACATAAGTCTCACAAACTTAAACCCGCTTAGGATCCTTGTAGGTGTACTGTCAAATCCACGCATTTCCTTCTTTGAATTAGGACACTCCAAGTAGGCTTGCATTTTGGGGGGGGTATATGATTGTCAGGTACATGGACTCAAAGGGGCAGGGTAATTATAGGGTTGTAGGGTTAAGCAAGTTGAGGGTTTAGGGATGTAGAGTTTGCGGTGCGGCTTACTTAATCTTTAGGGTTCAGGTTTAGGCTTCTTGTGCTGGGCGTTCAGGCTCCAGGGCGCGGTTGAGTCTTGATCATGGCAAGTCGTGAGTAGGCGCGTGTCCAAAATGGCATGTCAGGGCTTAGCTTTAAGGTTAAGGGTCCGGGACTTAGGGATGTGTCCCACTTATCTACCTTAAGCCACGCTGGTGCCTCCTGCTCGAACCTCACAGTAAAATTCAGGGCTATAGATGCCGTGGATCTTTGGCCCCAAACCCTGCCTACAGTCTTGGTTGTGGTTCCTTCTTTTCGCATCACCCAAGGATTCTTTAGGGTCCTAACCAAAACAGTGCTCAACCAAAACGGGAACTAGAATGGGGACTATGGGTATGCCCTATGTTTAAGGGTAAGGGTTTAGGGACGGGTGGAGCTGTGTTTTTGTGTTTTGCGAGTCTTTGTTCAGGGCTCAGGGTTTTGGAGTTGACCTGTCGACCCCCTCCAAGTACGTACCCTGGGCGCCTACATGAGGCATGCACATCATCAAGCTACAGGCAAGTCCCGTAAGTTGGAACATGGACTGCAGACAGTTAGTAAAATCGATTAGAACTAGAAGTCTATATGCATTAAGTTAGCGGCATGGCGGTCATAATGTTCCAAGTCTTTTATTAGCTCTGAAAACCCTAAACACCCGAGCCCTGAACCCTTAGCTCTCAAACCCTGACGGTTTAGGGTTTAGGGTTTAGGGTTTAGGGCTGAACCCAGAACAAGGCTGTAGACTTTGCGACCCAGGTCTTTCCTGAGGAGGAGGATGTGAAACAGATCTTTTTCGACGACAACGTCCATCATAGAGATCCCAGGAGTGGCTCCTTGTAACATGTACCCATAGTAAGGTTTTCTATAGGGGTTACTTTCAGGATGTTTTTTGTTGAAGGCTTCTGTGGGGTTTAGGGTTTAAGGGTTCATGACCTATACAGTATAAACTCAGGCCTTACATTTGCCTCTAGGAACGCCTACAAGGCCTGAGTATATACTACAAAGATCTATGTAGTTTTGCATCGCAGCTAGCGTAGGAGTTTGTATGGTCGTGTACAGTCATCATGTTGTGTATACTATACCGTGACGTTCGTGCCCAA